ACGCAGGACGTCGTGTCACCTGATATTATTGGTGGCTGCGTCACAGAGCAGCTCGCCAGGGAGGCCGCGTCTTCACACTCGGGCACAGTGCCAGGCCCAGATTAACACTTGACACACAAACATTGCTGATGTTTACTGCATTTCTACTACCTTATCTGTTCTCTTGTGCTTGGCATTTACGACTGTCAACCTTTACTCAGATATTTCCGTGATGCATTTATACTATTAGCAACAATCCTGTATAAATAAACCAACATGAGAAATATTTTAGGGGTTTCTCTGACGATTTTTTAAGTGCTGGTATTTCTCTACCTTTCTAATCCTCATTTACTGAAAAAACGCATGTCTCCTCTCAATGCAAAAATGACCTTATAGCGCCTTTGTAGCTAAAAAGCAGGAGGCTTAAATATTGCATTCCATCATTATCTTTCGTAGGTTAAACTTCAATTTTCCGCGTTGCCTATTCTCCTATTCATCCATTTACATGGCCAGTAGAAACACAGCTGGCGGACACCTGGCCCTCACCTGCGTCAGGCAGATCGAGTGTCCATCTACCAGGTTGAGGATTTGTGACCACGTACTTAGCACGTGAAAATTGGAAGACGTTTTATATTGAGGTGCATAGCTTGCGCTCTTTACCTGGCTTATAGACTAAAGATGAATCAGAGTTCCAAAATGTTTTCCTTCCATCCGTCAGACAACCTTTCGTTTCGAGCGTTGTTTTTGCTGTTTGAATTTCAAAAGTTTCTTTGGAATACCCAGTATTTTGTTATTGCGTTCATCCCATCGTCGTTTTCATTAGCGTTAGTATAAATGGCATGGCCATTATCATCATCAGTCATCAATAATTGCCCTCGCATTGATATATACAGATCGTGTCCTCATCGTGCGGCAGCCACATTACGCCGAGTTGATAGGTTACCCAAGCTATGTTGAATCTCGTGAGCTGTTGTGTGAGGCAGTTTTAGGCAGTTGTCATTGCAGGACAGGGCGCGTGTTTTGTGCCCTCTTCGTGTGTGCGCGTGCCCACCAGCTGAGGATTTGTACCTCTGAGGGGTAAAACATACACTGTTGTCGTGGTTTTGCCCATCTGCTGTCTCCTAATCGCGGTCTTCCTTCTTTCTTTTCGTTGCGCAGAGTACACCGTTTTTAATATTTGATGAAAATCCATATTCGCCGAGATTATTCATTTGTGAGAGGGCTACAATGGACCATCATTACGGAGAATGCTGTACAGATTTTACGCGTGTGTGCGCGGCGCACCAGAAACAAAGAACAGCTGCGCCTTCTGTTAGTCCCGGGACGCATCCCTATTCCCCACCAGATGACTCGCCTCAAAATTGCTTTCTAAAAATTTTGATACACATGCTACTTGTATATTTACTTGGAATTTGAGCGTTATCCGCTGATGTATTCATAGGTAATGATAAAGTGGTTCTCATGTAATATGATTTTTGGCTGACTAAAAATCTACAAAAACCACAGCTGAATGATTGCACTAGTGGAATGCCATAAGCAGCTGTGTGTGTATGTTGTGTGTGTGTTTGTGTTTTGTGTTTGTGTGTGTGTGTGTGTGTGTGTGTGTGTTGTGTATATATATATAATATATATATATATATATATATATATATATATATATATATATATATAACACTCATAGACATAAAATGTATCCGTTTTGCAGCTGATTAATTATTGGGTTATGATCAGCACCTTTATGTGGGAGCGTGGGACAAGAGCTTGGGCATGGAATACCGGGAATCAGAACAAAGCTGGTCTAAGGGTCGTGTTTTCCTCGAGTACAGCAAGGGAAAGTGAATCTTATTGTGGCGCTCTGTAGGGCCGTTTAAGCGGGCTTCTCCAAGGGAAGAAGAGCGAAGTTGGCGCTGTGCGAACGCGTGTCCCCCGCCCCTTCCATTCCCCCTTCCCGCCGATCCCCCTTCCCCCTCTCTCCTTTCGTACCCAACCTCCGCCATCTCCCCTCCCGCCATTTTGCCACACCTGCCCTCGCGGAAAGACGGGTTGACGATCCCAACCAGACTGTTTACATTTCATGCGCGTTGGCTCATGAGCTGTGCATTTGTTTGAATCATCGAAATGAATGACGTCAGTTTATTATAGGGGCACATTGACCGAAAGAGGATTATTTGAATTTCACAAGTACGAGTATGCCGAAGCAGTCCAAACAGATGATTGTTTGGTGACTTTTAACCGTCACCATGATGTTCATTTCACCACGTAGTACCATCGGATGACGTCACCCAATCTGTACTCGCAGCACGTGCCACCTTGTGGCCAAACGCCCCAAAATGTTTTGTCATGATGGCCAAGAAGCAGCACTGAGTGTTAGCGGTTGTTCCCTTGTCGATCAAATGAATGCGTGGACGTAGAGGGAAGTCCACATGGTCACTGGCCCGCACTTAGCCTTGTAAATCAAACTCAGCCGCGCCAGTCCCCATCTTTACCCACCTGCCTTCGTCGTCCAACTGTGAAACCTCGACGCTTTCCGCTTTCTTGGTCATCGCTCGAACCTCCCTTATTAACTTGAGCTTCACTTGCCAGGATGTTAAAAGGGCTCAGGTTTGTCTCATTTCCATTGATTTTATGCAGCTGGAAACCTGTGTTATTAGTAGTTTACGATCATGCTCAAGATGTATTATTGGTATTATTTAGTTGTTATTACTGTTGTTGTTGCTAGTAGTAGTAGTAGTAGTAGTAGTAATCTTCATCATTGTTATTGTTCTTGTCGTCTTGGCTTTATTACTGCTATTATTGTTGTCACAGTCACCGTTATTATATTATTATTATTATTATTATTATTATTATTATTATTATTATTGTGAACTTTTCCAGTAAAGACATTTAAATACACATCGCACAAATTGGCGATGCACAAAGAGTGGAGTTACATATAGAAACTCCAGGTTATTGCTTGTCTTTAAAAAGCCAAACAAGCTGTTAATCAAATGCGCCGCATGCATCTTGTTACGTTTCTTGGCGCAAGAGGAAGTGCGCCGACTTCCTCTATGGGACACGAAAGGCTTCTTACAAAGGTATTATTGTCAGAGCAAGAAACAAAATTGATGTCTCGTAGCGGCAGTGTCGGCGTTGTCTCCTCGGCAACTCCCTGCATGTGTCATGCTTTGTGTTTGTTGTTTTCTAAGGCAGAAGGAACGGAGGGGCAGAGGTACATCAACGTGACTTCGCGGAGGAGCGAGGTAGGGAGGGGCGGGCAAACTGCAAACAATACACGCTCTGATTAATGATTGACACTTTGATTGCATTATTACGTCTATTTTCCTTTTGCAGTATGTCATTTGTTTCAGTCAATAAGCTCTCGGGTTTATTTACTTACCCTCCCGTGCTTGCTCTTGCTACGCCGATTGTTGGATTCGCTGTATTTTTTGCTACCCTGAAGAGGGCTTTAAGCATCCTTATAGTTGGTGTGCATATACACGCACATACACATACCCGCGCGCGCACTCACACACACAGACACACACCTCAAGTATACACGCACTCATTCATGTTCACAGGTATATTGATGTGTATATGCGTGTATACATATGTTTGTTTGTTTGTTAGTGTGTGAAAGTCCCAGTGTTGAGTTGGTGATCCGAGTCACGTGAGCCACGCGCTAGCACCAAGGTTAGCCAGACAGTCACGTGCTACCAGACTACCAGTTCCTGCTTAGGGTGCCTTGTCATCCTCAAGCACTTCAATAGCTTGTCTCTTTTCGTTTCGACAATTTTAGTCATCTTCATTCATCTTGGCGCAGATTAACTTTTAAAGAATATTTTAACCCCCACGAGCAAGACGTCTTCATGCAGTTTACTGTTTTCTTGTAGAATTGATACCCATTTGATGTCATTGGACTCGTGCCTCATACAATGTCTTAGAAAGTGTTATGGTTGCGGGTATTCATACATACTGAGAATCAATAATCCACCACCGCAGGAACCGCTAGAGGTTTGCGGGAGTCATACAGATTCTTTCCCGAGTTATACAATCCAGTTGAGAATCCCATTGGTTTCATTGCTTTTACATACACACAAAAATTAAGTCTCGAAGCCCATACAGTAAATGCCTTCGACACTCATTCCAGCAGTCCTTCATGCTGCAATGCCTGGGTTAATACACGAACATCTCTGAGCGTAGAGAGGGAATTTCAGCCTATTTTGGTAATGCATGCGGATTGCTTCTAATTAAGCAAAGTATATGTAATCGCTAGTGTTATTTCTCCACAAACAAAACAGCATTGCTAGAAAATGTTGGGTTTCTTTTAAGTAAATTGCATTTGATGCATATTAATAAAAAAAAGAATCTATTACTTCAGAATATGGAGTTACACTGTGGCTTGTTTATCCTCACTTCACGATAGACAAGTGTGTATGGCTTAAATTCACTGAGGCGTCATGTCGACTTAATGACGTGAAAGTTGTCAATTATAAGCAGACTTACAATTCTGATAGCTTTAGGGAAGGTGGAATCGGTAGACCATAATGGGTGGCTGTGGCTGCCATTGGTGTTTGTACCCAGCTAATTTGTCTTGAAGAGAGAGGAATATAGTGATGGAAGCAGCGCTCTGAGCAGAGCTGGATCGGCCGGTACTTGGATGTGGGTCACAGCACCGCTCAATGGACAGGGCCATATTTGTGCGTACGCCAGCTAGCCCGTCTACCTGCCGCTTGGCTATCAATACGCTCTACGTCATAGTGCTTTCGTCACAGAGTCCGTTCCCTTTGATTGGTGCTAGTGTGTGACGTCAGAACTCATGAACGTCATCTCCCACCGCCCGTGAGTGGCGAGCGACTAAACCTTGGAGGGAGCTGCATTCTCATTGGTGGATCAAAGGTTTCTCCTCACAACTGCGAAAGTAACTGGCGGACCCGGCACGCGTCAGGTCCGCTGACGTCATCCTTCTGACGTCACGACCAGCTGATTGCTCTAGAGTGTTTGAGGCACCGTGAAGGGGGTCGATTTCTGAAAAATGATTGTTA